GGACTCCTACTCTGACAGTCGGCTCCCAGCCTGTACTGATGGACCAGCTTTGGTTGATGCAGGTAGCTTTGCTCTGGCCCAGGCTGACACAGGAGAAGTGAGGTAACGGGGCATGCAATGAGCTATTTTTCTGTCTCTGAGTAGCCACAAGTATAGTACAAAGATGACATGTGACTCTTTGTTAAAGGTTGTTTTCTAGGAACAAATCCCACAGCAGTCCACAAGACAGCTGTAAGGTTGGACTGACAGATAGTTAGGTTTCTCTTCTAGTCAGCTCATCACTTAGAAGTGTCTCTTGAGACTGAGTGGTCCACAGGGCATGGACAGTGCCTCTTCTGCTTTACGTCACGTTGAGCACAGTGTATAAGGTGTTCTGATCACTGCTTTGCCGATCAAAGTGAAAGGGACATGGTATGAACTGCTCCATTCCCAAAATGCTGAGCCTGGAGTTCTCTTTCTTTCCTTAACACCAGGTGCCTGAGGATCTGAGTGAAGAAGATAAATCCAGCAATAACCTCTTAGCTTTATGTCATCACCACAGTGCAGAACTAAATCTGAACTCATGTTATTCTGACAAAGTTAGGTTTGAATGTCATATTTCACCACAATGGGAATTGTAAAATTTATTCTTGCTGCTCTTGTCTTTAATCACTTTGATATCAGGTACCATGTCACACCATTTTAAACACATGAGTCACTTACACCATCCTATGAAGAGAAAAACCCATTTCCGCAGCTTATCTGTGGAATAAGTCATCACTATAGCAGTGTGTAAGTAGCAGCCTTCCACAAACATCCAGAAGAAGTTGGTCACCACAAAATAATTGTAGACAGTGGTAATACATCGACACCAGGGCTGGAAAGGAAACAGAAAAGAGTATGTAAAAATCATGATCAGAACATTTAAAAGATTCTATATGTTGCTATTCCTTTAAAAATCAATGGTAGAATTCATTCATGGGATGCAGATGTATACCTGTCACCTGGAATCATAATATCTTAGGTGCTGTCGGGATCTCACAGCTATGTCTGTGACTTTCTGCTGAGGCTGGGCTTTGAGCACAACATGCAAGACCTCCTGTACCTGAGCACGTCTGGAAAGTTAACATGCCATAAGGCACGTCCACACCAGCAGTCTGCAAGCAGTTTAAGAAGCAGTCGTGTGGAAAGAAGACAAGAGGGGCAGGTCATTTGACTGCAGATGATTTTTCAGAGAGGTACAGCCATAGCCTAGGGTCGTATCCGAAGATGACATAAGAGTCTAAGCATAGCTAGGCAGTATAACCCACCTGCTGAGCAATTCAAAGAAAATATAAGATAGAAGTTAATGTCACAGTCTTGCTTCATTTCCACTGAAGGGAAGGAGATCCACTGACATTTAGAAAAAAGATATTTTACTTTAAAGAAATGCTTTTATCAGCTACTTCATCCCCTCTGTTCCTGCCATTAGTGCTTCAGTCTGTAAATCACATCACTACACACATCACCTCTGAATTTTGCCATAACTTCAACAGGAATTTTTGGTCAGGCTCCACATATAAGTGAAGGTATCTTCTCCTAATGGCTGTGCAGCGAGGGCACAGCTGTGGAATACACAATTAGCTATAGAGAGGCAGATGGGAACATCTCATCAATAAATCACAAGTGACTGCTGCTGGTAATTTCCATAGTGCTACATACAGAAGTCTGGGAAAATTTCTTTCTGACCTAGCAGGCATTCAGCGTATTCCCTGAAGCATGACATTAATTACCTATGTAAGCTGGTATCATTGATGTCATTTTGGTTTCACCATTCTCCAGACTTTTAATTAATTTTACTAAAGTATTTGAAACTTTTGACCCTCAGTTAATTTTATTTCAGACTTCATATGCATGAAGTATTGATGATCTCTAGGCAGTCAATAGAGCAGCAGAGGCACTATCAAACTCAGCAAGATTCTGTGGACTAAGAATTTATTGGACAAGAAAAACAGTTACAAAATGATAGCCCATTCACAAGTTGCAATCATTTCTGTTTATTGAGCTGAAATAAACAGAAGAAATCTTTTGGATGTGTTAAAGCTTTCATTTCTGTATTATTTCATTAAGATTTGAAATTTTGTTTGGCTTCATTTTAAAAATAGGATTAAAAACTAAACAACTCAGAAGAGGATGAAACATTTTGTTTTCAAAGTTTTGTTTAAACCAAATTAGATTTTCTTTTTTTTTTTTTTTTTTTTTCCTTTTGGTCTGGGCAAAAGAAAATAAAGCCACAAACAAAAAAAACCCACCCTCTATTTTTGGCTAACACCAAACAAATATTTTGACTCCATACCTGATTGACCCCTAGAACAGTAGGACTAGATTTCAAAAGACTTTAAGTCTCGCATTTGATTTTTTTGAAGGTATGAGCATGAACAGAATCTTTCTCTGTGGCTTCGATCTCATGTAAATTCTCTGATTTAATGTCTAGACTCTTGTTCCCCTCTCTCCAACAGCTGCAACACCTACACAGTTTTTGTCCTCTCCACAGCTGCCCATTTTCACAAGAATTGTAAAAAATAATTATATCTGAGCCTGTTGTTCCTGTGTCACAACTGAGTGGAATTGGCCAGTGGATTAGGAAGATTCTGGGCCAGATACAGACGAATATACATAATGGTGGTGAGATCTCCCTCTGCATCGTTTCCACAGGAAACCAGAATAAAATGAATTTTGAGCAATTCCTTTTGGAATTGTGGATTTATTATTATTGAATACTAAACCCAATTAGCAGAACTTATTAATTTATACCTTTTCATTTATTTGACCCAGAATTCTTGATCCCCACATGTATCCATCATTAGGCTTCAATATCTTCAGCAATTCCCCTTCTTGATTTATTAACATAAGCACTATAACTTCATGCAAAATGTTTCCACACTGAGTCCTTGATGCTTCTGTAACTGTATTATTTAATCTCCACTGATCAGCACAGAAGAGATCACATCATTAGCTAGCATAAATGATGTTGTTCCCATTGATTTTGGTGGTGTTATTTTGACTCTGACTTATGCCACGATAAGAACATAACAACGTTATCACTAAGCTTGTATAACACACTTTCCTAAAAAGACTGCAGTGTTCTGCAGAGAAAAGATGAGTTAATGAAAACTGAGGCATGTGAAGATCTGTCCTTATATTTGTAGGTTTATATTTTCCTTGGCACTTTGTGGTCACATTTTAAAAGGCATTTGAGTGCCTGACTCCAACTGATTTTTCCTAAATAACTGTAAAAAATATGTATTAAGATAGGCAGTATTGTTATGAGAGTAAATCATGCAGTGTAAGACTGTCAACAATAAAGCTCATATACCATGATCTTCCGTAGTCTGAAAATGTCAGAAACACAGACAAGCAACCAATGAATTAACAGAAGCTCCATCTTCTCAAAGGAGCATCTCATTTAATAATACAGAGTTCTGCATAGATGACTTCTTTATCTAGGTACAAATCACTTTTCTATTTGTTTTCCCATAGTATGGGATTAAAGTTCAGATGTCAAATCTTAGATTTGAAAAGTAAACCAAGGATGATGAGTGCCCAGCTGACATTAAAATGAATGGATATCCAGGCTCCTGGGGGGGTTCAGTTTCTACAGGACCAGTTCCTACATGGGTAGAGCCATGTTGACCGATATCAGCTATGGATCCAGCTCATAACCTATAGGCACTTTAATCCACCTGCTTTCCAAAGAGAAAGAGAGGATGAAGGGGTGTAGGTGTATGTGTGTGTGTGTGCGTGTGTGTGTGCATGTGTGTTTGTAGCACACTTTTTTCTTGATTATGGAGGTAAATGTCAGGGGACAGCCCTTAAAGAATACTCCACTATAAAAATATTACCAGAGAACGAGAACAGTAAAAATCCCTAAGAAGGGACTATCAAAAAGGACTACTTGCCAAGGAAATGTAGAATTATTCCCCAAGATAATAAAGAAAAATGCTTTTTATTTTGGAGTGGATGCTTTTAATCGACTCCGAAATCCTCGTACTATTTGGGCTGCTGGGTGACTAAACAGGGGGGAGGCATTACAGCACTTACATAGGAACCGACTCAATGTCCTCGCTCAGACAAGCATCTGCAGTTGCGAGCTACTTGTGTGAACAAGAAATAACATGGAGAGTAAAAGAAATGGGAGCATGGTGACATGCTGTATTTCTCAAGAGTGCTCAATGTCATGCAAAGACGACGCCTCACTTCTTGCCTCCTTCAGCCTTCCCATCTTTTACTGTGTGGATCTGTCTCTGACACGCAATCACCCATCAGAGATATGACTTAGCTATGCCAGCAGAAAAATCCTCCTTGCTTTTTTGTTGGCTAGGTTTAATTCTCCAACAGTGTAGTAAGTTCAGTCTCCAAAGGTTCAGTCCTCCCCAAGGGATCAAGAGAGCTAGTACACAAGAAGCAGCAGGAGCTGGAGTGAAGCGTTTGGGTCCCTGGAGGAATGAGCCATCCCTTTCAGGGACAGGGGGCTGCTGCTGGATGCAGCCCCTATCACAGAACTTCATCCTCAAGGCCAGCATGGTGAAAAAGGGATTAGCAGAAAAATGGAATTTTGTAAAAAAAAACCACAAAGAGCTCAACAAGCAAAAATTGTATTGTTTCAGGCCCTATTTCTTATTTTCTTGGGAATCGCACTGACTCCAGGCAGCAAGGTGCCCACTGTCATCAAAGTAGCTGAGTCAGAGCCTCAACAGCCAAACCAATTATTTCTGTATCCTGTTCTTGGAGATGTTGCCGTCTGG